ATCATGCAATCATGCAGGCCCATTTGGTGGAGTCTCTAGAGTGTGATTCTGACTGTAAATGCACCGAGCGATGCAACTCTTGCGTATGTCATATGTCACATGTCACATGTCAGAGTCATAGGTATGTCGGTATGTCGCCTTACCTGATTGATACAAGTAAGAAAGAAGGCCATCTATCCAAACCATAGATGATACAGTCCTCCACTTGGTCGCGGCTCTCGCTTGGGGCGCAGTATGAATCATGCTTCACACAATGTCCTCCTTGATGTCCTCCGGCGCAATCATTCCAAACATGATGGCCTTGGCAAAAGAGAACAAGTGCTAGCCCCGTGGTCCGATTTCCTGTCAACTACTATATAATTCTGATGGAACCACTCATGAATCTAGCCCATCCTGGGCTGTAACGTACTGTGGCAACGTGTTTCACACAAATATATGCATATATAAATACGTGATGTGATTCAATGAACCTAATCTGAATCGCATTTGTAGTTACTAGTTCCTGTATATGTCGCGTTTCGTCTTTTGAGCAAGTGTGACTGATTTCCTCAAGTTGTCAAGGAGGCACACTCGTAGTGGGATTTCAGCAATGACTGCACTGCTCTGTTTCCCTCTGAAGCTATGGTCTCCTCAAACTCTGTGCCAGTCGCTTTGCACAAGTCTTTCCTGGGTCATGAAACTTTAGGTAAGTCAAGTCTGTGATCCCTACGACTTTGCGGAACAGAATAGAATGGAATGAATGATTTTGATACCTGCCTTGCCCATAGGTTCTGTCTAAGCCACATTGCCTCTCTACTCTACTTAGTGACTTTGTCTTCGTTTGAGTCTATAAAAAGGTAAGGCTTCATGATTCATGATGCACTGCGCTGCACTCCAATTACCTCTACAGTATCGCACTTGTTTGAAGGATCACGGATAAATATCAATGTCTTTGCAACATTGTTCTTCATGCAGCATGCCCCGCACATTATATACTGTAACGAGAAAAGTCAGCAGAGTTCTTATGAATCAGTCAGTGGTGGCTACCATTGTATGGCCAAGCCTCATGCAATAGTTCGCGGTGCCAAGTCCAGTGCAGGCGGTAGCCAAAATATACCTTTGCCGGATGTAAAGATCACAAGTTGCAACATACAGTAGCTTAACATACTGCAGCTTGCATGCATTCACATTGCAATAACGCCTAGTGCCTAGTGCCACAGTGCTCTGGTTTCGTTTTGTTAAAAATTTGAACTGTTCGACTACAGATCCAGAGTGGCCCCGATCACAGATCTCAGATCCATCTTTTTTCAGTGACAAACACAAGAGGAAACACTGATACACTGATACATTACATCATCAAACAAAAACAAAAGTAGACCGTAGACCTTGACACAGTTCTATACTGACCTTCAAAAACACGTGGGAGTCAGAGTCAGACTTGAAGAACAAGATACTTCCCATGTGGAGGCTTGAAGTCCCCAGAGACCCGGCTAGCTTTGACGTACAACTCTGCACAGTTGTGCATAGTCAAAGTCATCCGCGCCCGATCTTCACTTGATTCATCATCCGTGTCTCTCTCCACGTCATCATTGCAAGGCGAAGACAAAACATCCCACGATGATGTTGCGCCCTCCTGTTTGGAAGTGAGAACCCAAGTGGCATTTAGGCCCCATTCATGTTGCAGATGTCTACAAAGTCTGGCCTTGTGGGACCCAATTATTAACAAAAAACAGACCAGAACTGAACTAAGTAACCCAAGTACAGTCTGATCCAGTCCTTGCAACCGCTGTCAGAGCCAGTTCCGTCGGCAGAGTCGAAGCCATCCCAATCATCCTTGGTGGAATGTTTAGACTGCTCGGAAGTGTTTTTGACGTTTCCAGCATTTCCAGCAAACCGCAAACCTTGTTTCAAAAATGAGGTGTACTGAGTGCACTGAGCACACATCACTTCACTACCAACAGTTTTCATATCACAATCACACTTCAATTATATTAATGTACAGACATAGACATAGATATGATGATAACATCTCTGTGTGTGTGTTTGATCCCAGTGTCGGCCAGTTCCAGTGGTGAACCATCGTGTGTAGCCAAGAGTGCCAGCTTGGACATGGCTCCAGGTCCAGAATGAGAAAAAGATAGTCTGTCAGAGTCACAGTCAGACAGGTGACTGGTGACAGGAATCATTCAAATTACTAGTTGGGCCACACCTTCAACTTCCATTAAGAATTCATAGGCGCTTGGAAAGCTTGCTTGGGCCATGGTGGGTGTTTTGTTTGTAGCCATCTGAACCAATCTGAGCAAAAAAAATAGCCACAACTGAGCTGGGCGGACAGAGTGATCCGCTTCCCTTTGCAGTATGCATGAGCCAACACATCAAAACAGATGTGCAGTGAAAAGAATGCACATCTTTCTGACAGTACAGTTTCTAAGAAAAACACTATAGTTTCTAAGAATACATACATAGTTTCTGAGACAGCAAATCAATACGTCACAACCCCTGGAATAAACAGCCCATCCCCAGTTCTAATTCATGCTTTTAACTTTAGAGTTCTGCAAATGACCCAAGAATCTCATGGCCTTCGTGGCCTGGGAGAATTTCCATGGCTTGGATACCTCCAGTAACCACAGGATGTTTTTGCCAAAGCGATGTCGTCTGAAACGATGCCACTTCATGGGTCTCAATTGCGACCTGAGGCCGTTTGCGCGGCCGGGAACGCGGCGTAGCAAGATGAGGCGGAACCGGGGACAGGCGGAGGTTGGATCATTTCGGTCCACATTTGTCGTCATTGACCAGACACTGTGCTGTTCTGCAGTGGATTCTAGATTCTCGCTGATGACCTCAGGGGTTGACATTGCTCCTCTATCGGGACCGCATGGCCGGAAACAGTTTTTTGGCGAGGGGTTATTAGGAACTTCAGGGCACTACAGTTTGACAAATTCCAGTTGGAATGATTCAGTGATATCATGTTCAGAGCACCTGCGGAGGTTAATTATGTAGGTTCGTTTTGTTGGACTTGGACAGTCCCTTGAACCAGTTGCATCAAGACGTCCCCAACTCCACCTGCTCACCAATTCAGCTTCCGCACAGTGATAGCCATGCATGAAACATATAGCACTGGCCAAGCTATGTTTATAACCTTTTCTTAGACAGTGCTTCGGGACATGAACAAAAGACCGCACGGAACAGTGTGGGCACACTATCAAAAGATGACTCGGAATTGGAACTGAGCGAGCGCCAAAATAGTTAATTATGTCATAGTCTTTCATAGCTGAAGATGCGTTGCTGGTCTCAGAGGGCTTCTTCAATCAACCGTGAAGCTGGTTTTCTTTGGTGCCAAGAGCCGATGTAGCCCTTGATTTTGGGACCCACCGATTTGTGCCGATACCCTAGTAGGGCCCAAACCACATGGACCCCCCCACCACACAGACACACCAAACAAGGCATGTCACTTCACACAGACAGCTTGTGTTGGTTTTTGCGGTCGTGGGGCCGGAGGTGGATCAGATCCAACCACGATGTGTGGAGTTCCTCGGCGTTCGCGGGTTTCGGAATGGGTTTGGGGTCAGATCCCCAGGGGAAAATCTCTTTGAAGCGATTTGATCCCCGTGGTCTTCTCTCTCCCGTGTTCTTTGAAGCGATTCTTGCTTGATTGCCCAACCTGGCTCAATTCAGGGAGCTTGTGTGAGAGGGTTTGTTGCATCCAGGAGAATTATTGAGAAGCAAAGCGTATGTTCAAGGCTTGAGTTATAGTTATACATACAGTATATAATATGTCATGATATGTCATGTATTGTCCTTTGTATCCTTAAAACAATCTGATAAAGATTTGACTTTAATTCAGAGCACTTCCTCTGAACAGGTGTTATTTAGCATCCCTGCAACCTGGCACTTATCCTCATGTTGATGGAATGTATTTTTTTTACTACAATTGAACTTGACAGTTCTCCTGTTCTCCTCTTCTGACTATGCCAATCGCCAGGTCGCTCGCCGACTCGCTAAGGAGCTGAAACATCGAAAGCGGGCCTTATACGCCTGAAGAATCGCAAATCTATAGCGGTCGGTGCTGCTCTTCATTAGGTACTGCCTCGTAGGGTGCCAGACAGGGAAGCTTTGTCATAATCCATTAGGGCCCGGATGTTTTGAGTGAAGACTCTTGGAGGTGAAAGCTACCAGACTTGATGATGGGGATTCTATGTTGTGGTTTTTATCCATGAGCTGTCAAGACTCCAGTCATTGGGTATACTGAATATGTGAAGATTGTGGAATTTATTGTTGAAGAGGCTGACCAACATTGCTGCGTTCGCTGTGAACCCTAACAAGCACAAAGAAACAATGTATTTCTTTGACTAGTGACTAGGGGGTTCCAGTTTGTGGACATGGGCGTGGCGCTGAGGAACTCAACACAAAATGGAGGTGCAAGGGAGATAGACAGACCAACCGTTACTCCTTTTGGGTTCCCTCGTTCTAAGACAAACCTTATTTGTTTGCCGCCTTTAACGTTGCAACCTTTTTCCTCCGGAAATGGGTCAATCATCTCTGGGCCATCTAGCCTAGCTCCTCGGCCAAAGATTGCCGGCCATTGCTTCGCAGCAATCCCCCTGTGTGGCAAAAAGCTGACGGCACTCCAGGTTTTTCTGGTTCTCCCTGGCAGATCCTAGCAGTGTGGCTTCGAATGATCCGCTGAAATCCAGAGCTATATAGACTCTTTTGTCTGCCAGTTGTGGCCATCCCATTTTGTCACTTTGTATCCAGCTACCTTTGCAGTCAGTGACCATTCCAGAAAGCAGTCCGAAAGTTGCTTATTCAGCAGATCCTAAATCTTCACATTCATATATGTATACACACAGAATCTACATATCCATGACATGTCTGACGTGTTGCCAGGATTGCTACGATTTTTCACCCCAAGTACCCCAAAAGCAGCCAGACCAACACACCATCAACCCGTCTCCACTCTCCCAGTGCTTGGTGCTTCGCCATCGTCCCGTCTCGCTGCGCTTGGGCGCCTGGGCCTTCAGGTTCTGCCATGAGCATCTCCTGCAAGTGAGGTGTCCACTTCTGTACCGCTTGGCACAGGACGCGCATTCGGAAAAGGGATGGGCTGGTGGATCATCGGAGGTTTGGGATGGCCTGGTGGGAAATGGGTGAGAGAGCACAAGAAAAGCACACCTGAGTACTGTATGGGAAAATGAACCTTTTTATTTGCTCTACCTTCGGCCATGAACCATAGCCGCCATTTGCGATCGGACAGGGTAGACGGGACTTGCCTCACTGTGCTAATGGACCTGACTTTGCAGACAGGTGTTCTTGTGCGTTTTGTGCTGTTCGGCTGCTGTTTTTCAAGTCAGTGAAAGATCATGTTGGATTTAGCAAACAATTGAGGGAGACAATAATTAGCATGACCCCAAATAAATACGGGAGCAGGAGCAGTAGTAGTAGTAGTCGTCGTCGTCGCAGCACTGGCAGCAAGAACGCTAGGCAGAAGCTAAGAAAGGTTGTTTTAAGGAGCCAGTAGCTGAACGATGGAAAGCTTAGTTCAAGCAAGATCAAGGACAACATGATTTCAATCAAACAATCCACTGAAAGACAACTTGTTTCACTTGAATAAAGCAATCCGCTGGGACAAACACAGTTTTACTGTGCCGACCCCCACGCCAATTTAGGGGCTGATAATTATGTTGCAAAAACTTATTGTTATTCACTCCCGCTTGACAGTTTAAAATTGAACATTACGGAAACCCAAAGCAACGGTGTCTTGGCACTCATCCAGCCATCCATAGACTTAATAGTCCATCAAGCAAAAGCTCAAGACATCTGACCACTTCATACCTTTTATATCCTTTTATACAACACACGCCTCCAAATAGGTACTTCCTGTCGTTGAAGGACTTCGGATGAGTGCAAAGCCCGAGCAACGGTCCTTGCAGACCCACGATTGAGTTTCCAGCTTGCACAGGAGCGTGCGCACGGTGCTCCAGCAGGCATAGTGCGGTCGTGCTGGTTTAACAGTCAAGCTTGTCCCTGGCAGTGGCAGACCAGGAATGGACACTTGGGTGGTGTCTCAGAACTACTAGCAAAACACACTAAGCTCCCTTAAAGTCTGACTGACTACCAACGTTGCACTCTTCGCGGCACCCGTCGCTCACGCCAAATGGTTGTGCTTCGATTTGGCACCTCGTTAGGCCTACATGTTTGCCTAGGCGAAGGTGAGGACAACTTGGACTCTTTGCTGCAGGCCATGATTTCAGTGAAACTCCTGGCTGTGGCGATGGAGATCCCCATTTGAAGATATTTGAAGTATTTGGGGATAACTCCCTAGAGGAAGTTTTCTCCAAAAAGTAGACCAGGTGCGTGAAGCTCATATGTTGTTTTGTTCCATTGGCTTGGCCTCAAGGGCTGCCCAAATGGTTCGTTGGTCAGCAGAGGCCAATGTGGCCTGGGAAATAGGTGGATCTTGTTGGCAGATGTGAGATGAATGTACTGTGACAGTTAATGGGTAATGATGGGTAGTCCTTGTTGCAAAAAGCAAGCCTGAGACAAACGAGAGCAAGGCAAAGAAACGCTAATGTGGGGTTAATTATAGATTGCATTATATAGGTTCTACCATTTATTATATAGATCCTTTTTTTTAAGAATTTGAGGTGAGTTTGTGGTCTTTGATCAACTTCAATGTGCAAGCACACAGGCCTTCCAAATCAAGCCCAACCAAATAGTCCTTCTGCGCAAAAACGGGGCAGACTTTGAAGACCAAGGATTTGTGGTGTTTCTCGTTGATCCGTTGACCAAATTCGTTGGATTTCCAATGAAACGATGAGGCGGTGTTGATCCATGAAACGGCTCTCGTCCAACCCTTTCGAGGCTGTGAACGATGATAGCCCCGGCAAGGCGAGTGTATCAAAGAATTGAAGTGAATCGTTTGGGTGAAGTGTATCATTGGCTGATCTTGCGATCAGGAATTTGCACCCAAATAGAAATATATATAAATATATATATATATTATATAATATAATATATATTATATTATATATATTATATTATACATTATATATATTATATATGTACATATATAGATAGATAGATAGATAGATAGATAGATAGATAGATAGATAGATAGATAGATAGATAGATAGATAGATAGATAGACGAGAGATGAATTTGGCCTTCGCAGTCAGTGGCCTCAAATTGGTTGTTTCTGACATGAGGGGGTCACAATAAGTAGAGCGCTTGTAGGGGAGACAGTTAATAAACATCCTTTTGTTGGCTGGAAGGGAGAAAGGCGTGCAGCCACCCAAAACTCCGACGTAAAAGTCCTCGGGCCCAAGGGCGGTGCTCGCGCAAGCGAGCAACTGAGTGCGTTTGTTTGATAAGTTGGTTGATTGTTCAGTGCCTGATGTTCCTGCCACCTCACAGGTGGCCAGGGTTGTGACCGGGTGTGGTGCGGTGACCTTGCTCTTTTGCTTCGTGTTTTCCTAGACCCTCCCTTTCCCAGCACTGGAGGGCTTCAGCACTGCTGAGTATACTATACTGTGGGTGTCCGTTTTGCTCCAGTGAAACAGGGGTGTGTGTGCCTTCTTACTTCTTTTTCCGCGACCATTGGTTTGGAAGGTGACCTCTTAGAGTCTTACAGTCTTCGCACGAGTCTTACATGAGAAGTACGTGAGGAACATCCGTCCTTGTGCGGTTATTGACACATGCGAATATGTGCAAGGACAGATAACATAAAAATACATACACCTCTTCATGTCATGATCCACCTCCACATATGCGATTCTTCATTGAATCGCACAAGCCCCATTCAAGTGGGCTTATTTGTCCTGCTCTTGAACCTCGCGACTGGGCCAGGGACATTGCCTCCCAACATTGCCCAAGAATGTATGAGCACACTTATGTTCAGTTTGGCGATGTGCTTTCACTCACCAGGTTGTTTTTTGGAAACACACCATACATTTGGGATAAATCTTCTTTTGAGTTTTGAAAAGAGGTCATGGACCTGCGCCACCGTGGTCATGGACCACCGTGTTCGCAGGTGCCACGCAATCCGCCACCTGGTTGGGTGGCCTCGGAGTTGGCGTGGGGCGTCCCAGGGCGGATTGGAGAGACGTCAAGAGAAGCAGGTGGTGTCCAGTGGTGTCCTGATGATTGGAGAAAGCACTTTGGTTGATGGGAGACTCATCGGGAATACACTAGATAGTTGGGACTAATATATGTGTAATATATATATATAGATCATATGATATGCAGTAGTATCAAGGATAGGGCCAGTTCATTGACGGTGTGGCCAAAAATCTGTGGGTTGGCCAATTTCTGCATGCCTTGGGGGTTGACAAGGCAGAAGGATCGGACATGGTCGAACCAACTACAGTAAAATGATTTGTTTTTCAAATCATTCCCCTCTCAATGTACAATCTTTCGAAGCATTTCACGGATTTGTTGGCCAATCAGTGCTCAAACTGCCGGTGATATGATTGGAACATCATTGGTTTTCACAAGTGTTCATGGTGAAGAAGAACTTAGTAGTTTCTGCGACCACAGATAGACTCCAATATGTGCTTACAGAAACAAGATCTATTGCCTAGCGATCGATGCGCTCCATGTATTCCTATGATTTGTTTGATGTTTAGTAGTTGTATGTGTTTGGGGCAAGGTTCATGAATACAGTAGGTGAAACACATTGCGAAGATCGTAGATTGAAGTACTATGTGTGCGGTTTTTGGCTGCAGATAACATGTCGTGCTTTCGATGAAGTACCACCGAATGAATTTCAGTTACGCTTGACGCATCACGCCCAGGTCGTGTCACTCGTGTATATTTAGATTATTTTTAAGTTTCTAAAATAATGACAGTCGCATTACCATCATGGTCCGTCAAATCAATTTTGTAGATACAATCACAAAGGTGTGGTAGTGGTTACAATCTGACAAACTAGTTGCTACTGTAGTTTTGATTTGGTCCATGAAGGGCCTACCAGCAGTAATCCATCCGTTACTATATATTATTCCATCCGCTGAGGTCCTACTGTTGTTGGATCCCAGTGGTGCGCCGAGTGGCAGAGCGTCGCGTCCGCGGTGTTCGCGAGAGCGTCCGCACTTGATGGATCGGGGGTAAATGAGGTCCACTGAGTGTCGAACACGAGTATTTCATTTTTGTAAGATGTAACATGAGATGATGAAAACTCCTGCCACAAGCAACCGTCCTATTTGATAGAAGTCACAGCATCCCAGATGTAGCCTGGGGGGGGGTCGCAGAGCAAAATGTTCGTGCTGCTCAGGCATCTCTCATGGGCAGAACAATAACCACCACCTGTCCTTATTTAGCTGAAGAAACCATCTACCAGCCCAGCTTCGTGGGTTGAACACAGGAACCATAGACTATACACCCCACCGGCGGATAAAGCAAAAGGTCTTGCGGAGAACTTTCAGTTGTTTGTGTGCCATGTGAGTGGGTTTTTTCCGCCCAAGCACAGAGACTATTGCGCATCATTGCAAGGCTTCCTTGCCCAGATGTTTGGTGGTGTGCTAAGAGGGCCAGCCACTTGAAAGCTAGGACTTGCCTCATATGATCCTGCACCACTTCGTTCTCTTTCTCTACTCTGAAAATACCAGGCGGGAGGAGCGTGCAGCTTTCGGTATTGTGGGGCGCACATTCCCCTCATGTTCTCTTGTTGAAGCTGAGACAGCAATTAGATTAGATAACTGCAGTACCCTCAGGGCACCGGAATGATCGTTTGACTCCCGAAAAGTGTGGTATGGAATCCGAAAGTTCTCTTCTAAACAGGATTGCTGTCCAGAATGAACATCCAAAATACCAGAATCATCGTGATCAGCTCGTGGGATGACTTTCTTGCTTGATTCTTTGGACTTTTCGTTGTTCTTCTTTTCCTCCTATAATGTTTTTTTTTTGACTTTTCCTCCTCAATCTGGAATTGTTACAGCTTTCAATCAGGCCGTGTGAGCGAAGTGGATGAAGGTCCTCAGTAGGTCTTCTGAGAGAGAGAGAGGGCACAGATGGACGCAGGTGCTTGCATTCCAAGTCTAAAAAACCCTCTGGCTGTTCCAAGGACGAAATGACGCGACGCGACAGCGACGCTGCACCTGAGATGAAGACTCCAGACCTTCACTTCTTAGGGGTCACTTGAGGGATTCCAGCTAGGGTGTTGTTTTTCCATCAACCATGGGACAGGGGTGCCTTCTTTGAACCTCAGGTTTGGGCATTTGTCCATTGATCAACTCTATAGGCCGGGCAGGTGGAAGATTGGTTTGGAGATCAGCGGACCGGTCACAGAGTCACAGGTGCTGTAAAACGCAGTGGACTGGTCTTATGGTTCAGGAGTTGGTTGAGCAACATGAGATCTAAGACCCGCTTGGGTGCTGAAGTTCACCAGTTTTAGCTGAGTGTCGGCACAACCATGGTTCGGTGAATGCTCTCCAATAGAGTGAATTGGGTAACCGGGGTATCTTGGAAATGCTGATTGACTACATTTATATATGTGGTCTCCAACTAACTCCAACTTTGTGCTTATTACATTGGTTGAACGGTTGGTGATGCGTGCTTTGAAGGCATTTGGCAATCGAGGATGTGGTTTCGTGCAAACGGCACTTGTTTGTGTTTAAACCCACAAACAGATGGCTTTTGTTGTGCAAGACTCCCACCACGGATTTATGACATGGTTCTTTAACTGATGGGCCGTCTCAATGTTTCGTATGCCAATTGAATAACACACGTACTCCAAATATCCACTCTGAGTCCCCTCCCATGAGCTCGACTTTCATTTGGCAGGTGAAGACTACCAGACTATGTTGGTTGTATAACATGTAACTTGAGGCAGCAAACAACATAATTAAGATTAGTCAAATGACCCTGGACACCTTCATCGACGCATGTTTCACGTTTGATTCGGCGTTCTCTATCAACTATGCTTACTGGATTGTAAGTCTTTTCAAAGTTTGCATGGTATTGATTTGAGTATCTTGCATGTGGCCTGTCCAGATGTCTGCCTTCCGCAGTGTTTGCTGAATGCTAAAGCAGTATTTTTGCAAAATCTAATGCTAGATCCATACTGACCATTGTTCCCCTCGCGGCTCCTGGCATGCAAATTGGTGCACAGCGGGATCTTGAGGGATTGATTTGTTTCATTCTTTGGGGGTACAAACTATTTTTTATACTACATGGTGGCAGCTTTTTGAGCATGGTGGCATGGCTGTGCAGGGTCGGTCTTGTTTTTCTTTCGTTTATCCTCGACCCCGACCCTGCACCGAATCGGACGCATCACCGGGACCGGGACATGGATGCATCACCGGTCCGGCTTTCCGTTGGCATCTCTAGACTCGTATCACTCCCCGAGTCTCGATGAATTGCATGGGCCAAGTCTCAAAGATGAAGGGCTGAACTGTCATGCAAAGGAATGGCTGGCTTACGCCTTTGACATAATGACATGTCACTCCCCTCCTGCAGGATGCAATTCTGACTGAAGATCAGCTTCCCATTCAACTAGAAGCTTTTGAAGTCCTGTCTCATCGCAAGTAAAGCAACTAAACCATGAAGTCATATGATTAATTAAGGTATTGTTACCTAGCAGTAGTTGAGCTTGGGTAAACCACACCACTCCTACGCACTTATAATCACTTACGTATCTGATTACACAAGCCTTAGCCAGTATTTCAATAGCAGTCAAAATATCGATCGGTATGATTCCCGAACCTATGCTTCACCAAGGCAACAGCATGGCACGCCACTGGCCGAAAAGGGAGGACCGTGGACGGATCTGGACGGTCCGAGTGTCGTGTAGGTTAAGCATGGTCAAGCCCATAGGGCAATATTCACAAGCCCTATGGCCATAGGCGATAGTCTTAGGGTACTTTTTGGGCTTGGACAGTTTTGTTCTCCGCAGCATGGAGTTCGTTGCACCTGCGGCACCCAAGGGGCAATGTGCGAACGGGATTGAAGATGAGGGCTAAAAACACACCCCGACGGGTTCCTCACGCTGTGCTCCAAGGTACAGTGCTATTGCTTGCTGTTGCTTTTGGTCCGGCGCTGGGCGAGCGTTTGACCTCGAAGCTAGGGTGTGGGACCCGAGCGGGGTGGGTTGGGCCGGTGCCTGTTGTCTTAAAGCGAAGGGATCCACCTCATGCCACTGTAAGAAGTCCGCAGAAAAGCGACTGTGTAACCGGTGATGTAAAAGACATGAGAACTTCCAGAACTCACTAGAAAGGGGCCAGACGCATGGGCGGCAACATTTATATACTCTTCAGGTCCAGGGATATATTTACTGTATTGTGGTCCTAAAGGAGGTGTCACATGCATTACGTATAGGGGAGTTCTTTCGTAAAGGCTAATACATTCTCCAAGCATATTCTATGACCATGGGAGGACTTGGTTTTCAAAAACTCCACCGCAACATGCCGCAACTGAATGTATTCATTGGCAGCAACTTATTTACATTTATTTACTATTTCTGTGAACATGTCATTTTATCAAGCTCCTCACATGTTTTTGCGTGGGTTGGTATAGGATTGCAATGGATTGCAGGCTGGTGATTTGTTTTTGCTTGCTGCTGGCTTTTGTTTGCTAGCTAGTTATTCTGGTTGTGCGTGTTGGTTTGTGTGGCTTGGGTGTCGAAGCTTAGTGGCTCAGTGGGTGTTTCTGCCCTTGGTCGCTTGGTTCTCTTTTTGGGGGGTGGTTGGGTTTGCCTTGTTGAGCGTTTGATCGCAATTCTCCCGTGTTGTTCAGATTGCCTTTTTCGGCCAGGCCAAATTTGCTTTCTCGCTCTCATGCCTACCTTGCACTCCTGTTCCATGTTCTCGCTGGATCTTGTTCCTGCATTCAGGACCAACCAAGTTGTGCCTCAGTGTCAGATCATTGCAAGCAGTGGAGAAAGGTTGGTTGGACTTGGTTGTTTTTTTTGTTCGTTGTTTGTGGGGCTTATGCGGTTGTCGCTGCTGGTTTGTCGTGAATTCATGTGTTGATTGTTGGTCATTTCTGTCATATATCTTCATTGTTAGTTGGTATGTGTTTTGGCTTTGCCAATGTCCTTTTGCATTTGTTTGTCGAGTTCATTGTTATGACATGTGTTTAACGTATTTTTGTTGAACGTACGCGCACTGTTCATTATTTTATATTTAAATAAGACAGACTATATATATAGTATCAACCGTCAGACAACACAAACATTGTTGGAAGCCTGGGGTGCTTGGGGACCTCACGTTTGGATCGCTTAGCACAATCGCCAAGAAGCCAACTTCCATGCCAGGAAGTTCCAGCATTTTGGCAGTGGAAGGTTAGCTGGGAACGCGATGTGGAAGGTTCTTCGTTCTTATCTTGCTCTGCAAAGAAGCATACTACTAGGAGCAAGGACGCTACTAGGGGCTCCTGGCATCGCTACTAGTAGCAAGAAGCTACTAGGGGCTCCTGGCCTTACTACTAGGAGCAAGGACGCTACTAGGGTACACACGGTTCTGAAACTGATGCCAATCAAAACCTTGACCGCGAAACCGTGGAGCATCGTGGAACTGGCGAACATCGATGGTTTGACCAAGTCTTGATCGATGGTTTGACCCTTTTGACCCTAAGATTTGATTGGTCCAGAGTCCAGATCTCATAGGAAAATGCTGGGCTCCCTAGCTATACCGATAGACGAAGTCGGGATCACCCAGTTGGGTTTCCAGATCAACCATTCAGGGCGATCCAAAGTTGCAATTCTCAGGAAAAAAACGGTTGGAGGGCATCGCTATTTGGATGGAGGCCATCGCTACTAGGATGGAGGCCATTGGCCATTGCTAGTAGGTGAACACCATACGAAGAGTGGGTGACAGGGCGGTTTGACTTGGCGGGAAACCAGCAAAAACATATGAGCAGTAAATCCTAAGTACTTGTAGGCCTGCAGATGATGACCCTCAATTCAAACAAGCCATGTTTGGAGTTTGAGCAGTTGTAGGAAAGCGGGGTAGACCAACTGCGACTCAGCGTAGGTCTTCAGTTCGATTATTTTTCCAGCTGAGGAGTGATGATAGTGATGCTGGTCGGGGACCTAGACTAGACAAACCTTGGATGGGTGTCAACATGCCGATCTTCACATGTTCGCCACTACGCGCGCACATCCGACAACTGGCAAACACCTGTCCAAATGGATCAAGAGCAAATTTGAGGTGAACTAGTAGTAGCAAGAAGCTACTAGGTGGAGGCCATCGCTACTAGGAGCAAGATGCTACTTGTAATTAACAAGGAAGCATGACCAGTCAACTAGAGCATCTCAGGGCTAGGGTAACGTCTAAGGTAAGCAGAGGAACCGCAAGTTCGGTCATGGTCAAAGCGGTAAGATTCTAGAGAGTTCAACACTGAAAGTATAGTCGTAAATCTGAATTCATCTCGGAGGCATTGTCAGCCTGAATCCAGGACTGCTTCTATTACATGCCATGTAAACACCACCGAACACGACATTGACTCACTGACTATCCGAAAAGGACTTAGGTGTTGGTATGGGTGAAGTTTCACGTTGAACAAACTCGGTAGAATCCATGATTAAGAGATCCAAGAGGGTCTCCTCCACCATTCCCAAGTACTACGTAAGACTACTTCCCATCCAGGGTCGTCCAGGGTTTCCTCTGCT